TTATGATTCCTTCTCGGGCTACATCCACTCTGAAGTAGATTGATGAAACATTTCTACAATCCTCTGATCTAGTCTGACTAGAAATTGAGAGTTTTTTCCTCTGATAAATATCAAAGTATTCCTGTGTGTTTCTATATGTTGTCAGTTTTTAGAGTGATTTACTACTAATTCTTTGCATTAAAAATCAAAGCTTTCCTGTTTGGTTCCCATCCTCATCACTTTCTGATATCTTAGTTTTTGTCATCCTTACCTTAGGTTTGTTGTCCCTTAAGAAAATTTATTCTGTAATTTCTGATTGTTTTGACTTTGAGTTGATTATAAATGCTATTCCTATAGGATTTTTATGTTAATCATCAGTGTGTGCTTTGCCGTAGGAACAAAGAAAAAGTACTATGCATTTAGTGGAATTTGGGGGCAGTTGAAGAAATATTTTCAGTTCACATACAAGACCATTTTGTTTTTAGAGGTTTCAGAGGCTCTCATCAAAGCAGTATATACGTTATATCAGCAGAGGGGCCTTGTCCTTCCAGTTCGGACTTTGTTGCTAAAGTTTTTCAGTAAAATCTACCAGAAGGAAGAACTGAGATCTTACAGACTCAGGTAAAGTTTTGTTTTTCCTTTCCCACTCTCTTGTCAGACTATTTTGTAGTCTATTTAAATCCTAGAAAGATCAAATCTTTAGAGACAGTCTCTCTTTTAATTTAAGGCATTTAAGAAGTGGTATAAGGGCTGGCCAGATAACTCAGCAGACTAAAGCGCCTTAGGCAGAGTGCAGCGGCCGGTGTTTGATCCCTGGCACCACAAGCCATGCCCCTCGGCTATGCTGAGACATCAATTGAGACTAGGTGTGGTGGCATGCACCTGTAATCCCAGTGCTTGGGAGGCTGAAAACAGGCAGATCACTACAAGTCCAATCTACGTAGTGAGACCCTGTAGACCCTGTATAATAAAAAAGTCATAGAAAATATTATACATAAGCATTTAATAATGCTTATGAGCTTTTTATACATGTCTAAACAGATCAGAGCCTCTCCAGCATTTCTTTGTATTTGTCCACTTGTAGCTAAAGGACAGTTGGAACAATCTATAGCAAGTACAGCCTTTCATTTCCTTTCAGTAAAAATTATGGCATGCACTTATAAGTTCAACACTCTGGGAGAATCAGGCAGGAGGATCATAAGCTTGAGCCTAGGTTAACTAACAAGACTGTGTCTCAAAATAAAATATAAATAAAGGGGGACTGGGGAGATAGCTCAGTGGAATAAGTGCCTGCCTGGCAAGCACAAGGTCCTGAGTTCAATCCCTGGTACTGGGGGCAGAAAAAGAAAAAAAAAA